GTTGTGTTCTTAATGGATCAACAATTGTGCATATAATGCAACACGATGCAAATTCAGAGTTAATGTCAGCAACAAAATTCAAGCCACCTTTACCAAAGTGCAAACAATGGCTTGCATTACATTGCAGGTCTTCTTTTAATTGAAGCAGTTGGGTTTTTGTCTGTTGTGACAGTGTAATTTTAAAAGGTTTTCATCCCCTATCTAAAATAGGCATAAGAGAAAATTTAAAGTTTATAAGTAGGAAAAATCAAATGAAATCAATTAAATAGTTTAAGTTTGTAACTCTCTTATTGCAGGGAATTATCCAAGATGTTATATTTCCATTGATGTGCTATACAGATGCTGATGAAGAACTGTGGCAAGAAGACCCATATGAGTATATACGTATGAAGTTTGGTGAGAAATGTTTAAAATTTACCATCCCATTCAAATATATGATGCCAAACAAAGGCAGTATTTTAAAAAATGCATTGTGAAAATAGAGATATTTTGGGTTTTTTTTAAAGTGTAGTTCACTTTTTTTCTTAAGTGAGGAAATAGTTCATGCTTATCAATATAGTTACTTATATCTTCAATTCAGCTATTTTGGTTCTCAGTGTAGGTGAACAAAAGATGTGTGTTTGTGAATACAGGATGTTTATATGGTAGTTGAGCGTTTCCCAAACTATGGTACCGGTCCGCGTGGAAAAAGATACCGGGTCTCAGCGTTGCCGCCAGGGTGTTCCGGGCTCCCAGAGTGCCTGTGTGGCACCGGGTTCCCCAAGCCCTGGGTCAGGCTGGGCAGAGGATGCAGCCGGATGTTCTGGGCTCCCGGCAGAGGCATAGTGAGGGGCGGAACAGGGGGCAGTTGCCCCTGGGCACCATGCTAGGGAGGCTCCAGGCTGGGGAGGGGGGAGGTGAGGGACGCTGGGCTCACCTGGGCTGCAGGAGGAGGGAGGTGCTGGGTACCTGGTGCTGGACTCAAGGAGAGGGAGGGAAGGGCAAGGAATCAGTGATGGGCTGGAATCAGAGGTGCAGGGAAACGGAGCTCAGCTGGGCTGCGGGGTATGGGGAGAGGTTCAGAGCTCAGTGTGGCTGCAGGAGAAGGGAGGTGCGGGGAACCCAGGGCTAGATTCAAGAGGAGGGGAGGGATGGGCAGGAAATCAGTCCTGGGCTCAGCACTTCTGTGGGACTTGGGGGGGAGGTGCAGGGAAACAGGGCTTAGCTGTGCTGTGGGGGAGGCATGCACGGAACCAGTGCGGGGCTCATCTGGGCTGAGGTGGATGGGCTGAGCTCAGTTGGGTTGCACGGGAGGTGCAGAAAAGCTAAGTGGGGAAGGGGCTGGAACCAGGAGCCCTGAAATGACCTCCCCTGATCCAAAAAATTCCTCATCTGGGACCAGTCAGGTCCAGAGGGTGCCAGACCAGGGAGGTCCAACTCCTACCCAAGTCCCCTCCTTGCACCCTCCATCCTAGCCAGACACCCATCCCTCAGTCTGCTCCTGCTCCTGCTTCCCGGAGTGCCTGCGTGATGCTGGGTCCCCCAGGCTGGACGGAGGATGCAGCCGGGTGAAACAGTGAAAATTTATTCATTTTTAATTCTTTTTTTTTAATATGCGTTTATTTTTGGGCTGCAAAAAACAATACTGAAAAAAGAACCAGGTTCCAACTAAAGTAAAGAGTTTGGGAAATCCTGGTCTAGCCAGCTTTCTATCCATCTTACAGTCCATTTATCTAACCCATATTCCCTTAACTTGCTGGCAAGAATATTGTGGGTGACTGTATCAAAAGCTTTGCTAAAGCTGGCACTTCGGGAGGACCAGAAACAACTTACAGTACTTTCATATTCATCATTTGCTTAATGACTATGCAAATGAATGTTACCAGTCCTCCAAAAGCTTGTGAATGGGTTTACTAGTCCCCATGTCAAAAAGTTTGGGAACCCCTGTGGTAGTACATAGGTGTAAAAGAGCTAACTTGTAAATTACAGAAGGCAGTTTAGATTGGCTAATGCTGTTTTTTGTTTCCTTGGAAAATGTTGTTAAATTGAATTGTTAAAAGCATTTATGGCTTACATACAGTAGCTATTTTTAAAATCCTGATACTTGCCATGAGCCAAAAATTTCTTATTGTAACGTCAAGTAGTGCTTTACACAAGGCATAATTCAAAATAGGTGTATCCATATTCATATATATATA